AAGGATGGGGGCAGGAAGGTGGGAGCTGCTTTGTCTTTAAAACATGCTTCTCTATTTCTCATCCAGGGAGACATAATATTCTGCCTTTTTAATATTTCCCAAAATATTTCATTCTTCTAGAAAAGGGGTGGGTGCTAACTTCCTACATTTAATATGCTGCACATCACACTTAGAAGTGACTCCAGGCAGCTTACAATCAAATAAAAGCAACTGGTAAAATATTAAATAATAAACATTAACCTTTAAAATTGACTTAAAAATTAACAAAGAAGGTAAGGAAGGCAGCAAGATGCACATGGGGAAGAGGTGGGGTCTTATCCAATAACCACCTCCTTTATAACATTCTCCATTGGCACTCCAGGTCAATTGGCAGAACCAGGTTTTCAGATCCTTCAGAAGGCCAAAAAGTTGGGGGCGGGTCTCACCTCATGGGGCATGATATTCCAGTGGGCAGGAGTCATGGCAGAAAAGGCTCTTCTCCTGAACCTCACCAATCAGAATTCCTTCACTGATAACATCCACAACATGTCCCTTTTGCCAGGTCAGATGGACTAATCCCATCAGGAAGATATTGTTACTCAGATAACCTGGACACCAGCCATAAAGAAGTTTAAAGATAATAACAAACACTTTGAACTGGACACAGAAGCAAATTGGCAACCAGTATAGCTCGTGCAACAGTGCTGTAACATGGGACCCCAAGAATTGTTCACAGGATTGCATTCTGTGTCTGTTGTAGTTTTTGAATACTATTCAAGGATAGCCCTATATAGAGTACATTGCAATAGTTGAAACATGAGATGACCGTAGCCTGAGTGACTGAGCTTAGAGACACATGATCCAGAAAAGGATGGAACTAGCGCACAACACAAAGTTCTGCAAAGACTCTTTAACCATGAGTACCAACTGCTCTTTAAGCAGGAGTTTGAGAATTCAGGAGAAATCCCAAATTGTGCACTTAATCTAATTCTGAGCATCTAATGACCTCATATGGAACACTGAACAAGTAACATTTAATGAGTTTTCTTTTAAGCCAATTTATGGAAAACAAAGCAATTATGGAACATATTTTCCCTAAGGAGTTACCAGCTAGAATGCATGCATGCCTGGGACACAGAAATTTCAAGGAATAGAAAGAAAAAAGAACAGTAACTGAATGAACAATAATTTATTGGATGAATTATTGATAGAGAATTAGGAAGCTGAAGGAAGAGGTGGTAGGGAAAAATTGGTAAGAGAAAAAGCAAGTAAAAAATGAAAGTAGAGCAAAAAACAAAGAACGAGCTCTTAGTGCTTAAAATGCGATTTCTTCTTCTCCCTCAGGTTCTAAGTTACTGTAGTTCACAGCTTGCAAGCAATTAAAGTTCCACAAGCAAATGCAAGCATGTGAATTGTGTCAGCTGAATAACTATGCTTGACATGCTTTTTTGTACACAGTTGTAAATATCTCTAGGGAAAACAAATGCTACACTATATGTTCAGTCGATCTTTTATATACAAAAAACAAAACAAAACTTGGACTCAACTAAACAGTACAGGATTATTTTAGTCAATGAAATACATATATAAGACACTGACAGAACTAATTTTAAAAGCCACATGACATCTACAGAAGTGATCCAAATTTGAGGTTTCCCAAAGGAAACTCAGTGAACCCCCTAATCATGGGAGAGAGATTTGGGAATACCAAGAGTTATAATTCATACATCCAATTTAATTCATATGCTAATATAGCCACAAAAGGTAGGGGAAAGGGATAGAAACACACTCATATTCAACGCATAGGCATTTATTCTGCATTGACAAGCATTGCCATAGGAACAGGATCACAAGCAGCTATTCTTGCTCTGTACATATTGATTTCAATGCAGAAACCTGAGTATAAAGAACTCTAGGCATATAGGAGAGGAATGTTAGTAACCATAGGATATATCAGTGATGGCTAACCTTTTCCAGACCAAGTGCCCAAAGTGCATCCGTGTATGCATGAATGCGTGTCCCCAAAACCCCAAATGCAATGCACATGAAGCCCAGCAGATATGGCCCACCCCTGTGCATGCACCTCCGCATGCACCCTGTGCATGTGCTTCCACACATGCCTCACCCTGTGCATGCGCGCACACACACCACACATGCCCGCTCATGCGTGGCAGAGACCCGATGATCAGCTGACTGGCGGGAGACGCACGCGCATGCACTGAGGAGCTGAACTGGGGTGACGGTCGCGTGCCCACAGAGAGGATGCTGCATGCCACCTGTGGAATGCATGCCATAGGTTCGCAGTCATGGGGATATATGTTGAAAATCCATATAAACAGGAACAAATCAATATATGCTAAAGTTAAGAGGATAAACTTAATTATTTATTGGTTGGATTAGTTTAGACCGTCTATCAGAAAATTTCTCAGGAAAGTGATCTGATCATAGTGAAGTTTCTCCTTGCTGAAACAGTAGAAGTTATCTTCAATAAAATTCTACAGGGATATCACTGCTTTTGGTTTGAAAGCAAGCATTTCTGGAATTGATTGCAGACCTTCTCTTTTATAGCATCTAGAAATATCAATTCTCAGGCCTAAGTACTTCTGATGAGTCGAGGAGGTAAGAAATGTTGCTAACCTCTCCTGCCCACCCTCCCAAAGAAAGAAAATGGGGGAGGGAAGCTGGAACTGCCAGAATCTGCTTCTTCAGAACATATGCCATCTCAGAAATTTCCACTGACCTTCTGCCTTCTGTCTCCTGATTTTCAGAAATGGTTCCCTTTTGGAATCTAAATTAACTATTTCTACATAATAATACCTCTTCAAAGATTTTCAAGGATTTAGTGAAAATTCAACATGCTCATAGGTGTTATTACAGCATTTTATTAAAAATCATTTTATTGAAAAGTTATACCTCATCGGGTTGAGGACTGAATTGTGGACTGAATTAATAACACTTAATACTAGCACTCAGGTTTATATACTGCCCAATAGTGATTTATAGCACTCTCTGGATGGTTTGCAATGTCAGCATATTGCCCCCAACAATCTGGATCTTCATTTTACTGACCTCGGAAAGATTGAAGGCTGAATCAACTTTGAACCAGTCAGGATTGAAGGAATCAAATGCCTAGCAATGAGAGCAGAGTTAGCCTGCAATACTGCATTCTAACAGTTGCACCACCACAGTTAAACCTTCTAGTCTCTCCTTTTTAACCTTTAGAGTTCTCCAGATATCCCCATAATGGATGGAGCTGAATGGGATAAGGATTTTTAAAGAGGAGAAATTCATGTTCATGGTATCTTTTTTTTTTTGTAAATATTCTTTTATTTTTTCCCAAACATAAACATAAAATATAACTTTCAAGAACAGAGTTTCAATCCGGTCATAGATGGTTAACATGCTTACATTCTTTTAACACACTCTATTCCACTTTTCCATTACATCTTTTAAAAATTTATAACAGCGAAAAAAAAAATTAAACATAAAATTCTAACACTTTCATCTAAACAAATCTAATATATCAATACAGTTTTAACTTCGAATTAAATTTTAGCTCATTATCTCTGTATCTATATCTCATCAATATCCAAATAGTTATTAACAATATTCTAGTCTCTTATTTTAATTATATACCTTACAATTTTATCACCAAAATTATCAAGTTCAATTTCAATACAACTCCATTTTGTTAAAATTTCTAAAACACAATTTTATCAACATCTTAATTATTTGACTCTTTTTATCAAATCAAAATATCTTGAACTTTCCAATTTAATATCCCACATATTACAGTTTTATCACAAGAACATATTGCTTATTCTTCTCCAAGTTATCAACTCTTTTGAGAGTATTCCCAATATTATGTCCTTCCAATCTCCCAACATTATTGGCTGATTTCCAGCATATTGTATTTGACTAGTTTCTAGCATAAGCTTCTCCCAGACTCCCTCCATTGTTTGGCTGATTTCCAGCATATTTTTCTCCAACTCTCCTCCTATTGCTTGGCTGATTTCCAGCATTTTATTGGCTGATTTCCAGCATTTTCTGTTTGGCTGATTTCCAGCATAGTCTCCTCCAGCTCTCCTGCCATTGTTTGGCTAATTTTCAGCATTTTATTTATTTTCCCACTTACTTCTTCTGAGTCTCTAACTCCTATCTAGTTAGTATCCTTCACCTCATTGTTTTAGTTTTCTCTTACATCATAATTATCTATTTAATCTCTATATCTCAGCATATTCATCAAAATTAATTCTCATTATGTTTCATAATAATCATTTTCCATATTTGTTAAATTAGATCACAATTTATCTCTATCATCTGTGTATTTCATAGTTTCATTCAGTAATATGTTAATCAATCATAGTCAACAGTCTAACTTTGTTTGCAAAATATAGTTAAGACATGTTACAACAAATAATAAGTTTTCTTAAAATTATCTCACATTAGTATACACTTCTCATAGTAATTTTTAACCACTTAGTATATAAATCCCTATTTTAATTGGCATTTATTATTATTTTTTCTTTATTATTCCAAAAACCTTCCTGTTTAATTCAAAAGGAAAAAAAAAACCCTTTTATTCCTTTAGGCTTTTAAGCATTACATTACAATTTAGTTACATTTAGTTTAAATCTATTTTGTTTCTTCTTTTTCCTGTCTGTCCACATGTTCCACTTCAAAGTTCATCTATTCAAGTTAAAAATTTATGTATCACTTCAATGCTCTTATAAATGTCTGCTCCACTTCCTGTCTTTGTTCGTGCGCCACACCTTCTTTTTGCTAAGTCTGTAAGTTTCCATTATAGAAAAGGTCCAAGATCTTTCTTCTTAAAATCACCCAGAACAGGATAGAAATTTCCAAAGTTTATTAGTCTAATGTTAATTCCAAAGTAATCATAATAATCCAAAATAGAAAGCCATTTAGGATATTTCTTTTCCAAGCAGAAAGTAAAATCTCTTCAATCCACTTTCCTGCTTAGTCACCATAGAGTTCATGGCAATTTTGTAGCCATCTGGCTGTCAATCTTCATTAACTTCGTTAACTTTCACAGGTTTAAATTCCCCAAAAAATGCTTCTTCAATCCACTCCAAAGAGAACAGAAAAAAAAGTCCAATTTTCCAAATTATCAGAAACAAATTCTTCTAAGCCAAATTAATTAATGCAAAGTTTGTCTTGGGTCTCCATTTTTCCCCCTTTCTTTTAAGTCTTCAAGCCCCACAGATCAGTAGCTGCTGTTTATGGTTGGGGTCTTATTTTTTAAAAAAATATTCCAGGTAATCCCTTTATTTGCCTGGGTTGGTGTCACTCACCCGGCTTTGAAACGCTCATTCTTTCTTCTTCCTCCTGCATGATCTTGTGTCCTGGTCTGCCGCGGCTTTGTGGCAGCCGCCATGGCTGCCTACCCCCACCGCCGACTTTGAGAATTCCCTCTGGCCTTTGAGGAACTTGCCTGTTCTTCTTGGCCCTCCGAGGCACTCCTCTTCACCCCCCATCCCTACAAGATGGGGGTCGGTCCGAAGACCGGTCGGGCAGCAGTTTGTCAGTTGGGGTTTCCATGGGCTCATTAGAGCCCGCTAATTCCCCGACTGTGGCGCCATGGCTCCAGACCAGAAGTCCCATGTTCATGGTTTTAAAGATGTTCATGGTATCTTTAAAACTCAAAATCCTTTGTAAAATTAGGTTAATTTTCTCATTTCAGAGACAGAGGGGCATGTTGGTTAAGGATAAATTATATATTTTAGGCAAAACCTTAAGCACCAATTTCAGCTATTTTTAATAAGGAAAAGTAGTTTTTATTTATTGTTTCTTTTACAAAGCAGATAACTTCATTAACCTAATTCTAAATTACATAAACAAGAAACATAAAAAATACAAAAAAAATCTACAATTGTATCATGTAAATAAAAATTAAGGTATTATATATATGAAAATTTATCACTTATAAGGTACACCATCTATTACTATGGTGTGCATTGTACACCATTTATTGTATTAAGACAACTCATGAAATCCAACAAACTTTGATAAAATTGTGGTTCCTGCATATGTGATTTTTTTCTAATATGACAACTGAAGAGGCTTTATTAATCCACAACTAGGTTGTTATAATATCTAAACTCTTCCAGTGGTACAATTATTGTTTTAACTGCTACATTTAAATAGATTCTTTATTGTTAAACTTATGATTTGATACTGTAATTTAAGAGAACTTCTTCATTTAGTTATGGTTCCTATCCAAATTCCTCCACCACCCCAAGGGTATAACTTTACCACAAATGAAACAAAGACACTTTTTTGGACAAGCTGTCCACCATTTAGAAGAATAAATTTGATATATGTGTGCCACCCTACAGAGGTCAAATACCAACAATGTATAATTTCTTCTATTGAAGCTGAAGTGAATCTACCTGGATTTTATAACTGCTGCCAATTTATCTCCTGTATGGGATTAACAGGATCTTTCAGATCTTAAATCATAGTCATCCCAGTGTATAATATGCACAAATAGAAACTGATGCTTTCAACTAAAAATATTGCTTTGGATTCAGTGGTAGCAATCAATGGTTGGGCCATTTGGATGCAATTGGCTGAAAAGCTCCCATCCCATATGTATCTTTTTATTACTAGTCTTTTATAAAACAAAACGTGTTTTTTTTTCTTTTCAATTCTTTCATAATTTTGGAAGAGTGAATAAAATCTGCTGGTTTCCAATGAAATTAGTGCATCAATTTCCAACTGTTCAGGACCTTGTCTCTTTTCAACAATGTAAATTATTTTGAAGCAATTTTAACAAATCATTTTTTCTAGTCTTTTGACATTATTTACACCAAAAAGCTCATAATGAGAAGAAATGCTTTTGATTGTAAGAATTTCCTTTTAAAGTGAAAATATTTTGAGACATAAATTTAGCCATAATAACCTTACCGTAGTAACAATTAAATTGAACCTGAATTCACAGTCCTTGCTATTGGCAAAGATTTGGGTCCATCAATTGTATTTGGAGCTAGGAAAGCAACCTGGAATGTCTGCTGTCAGCTTGTGAAGGCTCTCGGGATTTTGATCAAAAACATATACAACAGACACCACTTGGGGATTCCCACCCCCTTTTGATTCTGCCAACAAAGCAACACATGTCTTCAGTTTCTATTCTAGGCAGCATTCTTTCTTCCCTACTCTCTTGCCTCTTGGTGCAGGTAGCAGCAGCAATAAAGCAATCAACAACAGCTTGATTTAGAAGGGACTGACAGGCATTTCAAGGTGAGTTCTGTCTCTATCGGTGAAGTAAATCTTCCTCTCTAGTAAAATTGCTTTGTTATATATGTAGTATAGTGTATTGGTGAAATATGAGTTTTGTTACTCCTATATTTTTTCTACTTCTTGAGATTAATAAGCTGTGCGCCTTTCTTTTTCTCACGTTTCCAAGAAAACCATCTGCAAAGGGCGCTATGTCTATGTCTAATGATGTTATCTTCTTCTTTCAGTAAGTCTTTGGACTCCTCCCACTCCCAATCACTTCAAACGTTTTGGGCCAGGAAGCAACAAATCTACCCCAGCCAACTTTGCTTAGATCTATCTTGGTTTGCAAGCTGTTACTCCTCATCAAGTTGAAACTTAAAAGAATATATTAGGCTGGATACATACAGTATATGAGAAAATGCTAGGCAGCCATTAGCAATAACCAACTGTCAGATTTCCTGGAAAATCAGCTTCCTAAACTCTGAAATATCTTAAAAGGTGTTTTTTTTTCAATATTTGAATATGAAGCATGGGATAGCCTCTAATTTGGATTCCAAGTCTTCTTCTAAGAATATATTCCCCAAGAGGTAGAGAAAGGGACAATGAGTTACAACTAGTAAACAATTGAAACAAAGGCAGAGGTCATGACTGGATTCCTGTCAGACCAACTTTCCGAAAATAATAATGACAAGACTTTTACTTACCCAGCAGCATCTGTAGGGAACATGTTTTGTATCTCTCACCTAGCATCATTAAAGGACATTTCTAGACAAGGAACAATGAACTACAGTAGTGGCCAAAATTTTGGAAACCTTTTGGGAAAAGTGAATTATCTAAAGCTAGCTAAAACACCACTTTTTTTTAAAGTAGTACCATAAAATTATATATCAATGGAAAGATAATTTAATCAAGAATGTAATGCAATTTTTATGAAGGATTTGCTGTTAGAATAGCAGATACAGTATAAAGAAGAAAAGTGAAACACGTAGTAAAAACGAGATATATAAAAATTATCGCCATAGAAAAAACAAGATATACAAAAATTATCACATCAGTTAATATTTAATTGGGTAACCTGTAGCATGAATTACGGCCTTACAATGTCTTCCCATGGAGTGAACCAAGTCTTTTAGTTCTGCAGCTGTTATAATGTGAAACCAAGATTGAATGATTGCTTCTGTAGGAAGTTAGCACTCACCCCTCTCCTAGAAGAATGAAATATTTTAGGAAATATTAAAAAAGGCAGAATATTATATTTCCCTGGATAAGAAATGGAGAAACGTGTTTTAAAGACAAAGCAGCTTTCTGCATCCCCCCCCCAACACCTTTGTTAATGGACCATTAAGGCCCAGCCAAGCTCACTCATTTCCCCCACTTCTGTCAATGGGCCATCATCTGCAACACAATAGGACTCATCTAGCAACAAAATCTCACCACATGGCAAGACTCAAGCAAGCTTGAGAGACAACCTACAAAGTTAGCTAAGACCCCTAGACCACTGAGAGTTTGACAACCAATCAGGATACATTTCTTATAGAGGAACAAGAAACTCAGAGGTTGGACCCCACAGAGGGCATAAAACCAAGGTACTCCCAGCTTCTGGGGTTTTTCTTTTGTTTTCTACTCAGGAACTCAAGCCATGTGTTCCTGTTCAGGTACTCAAGCCATGTGATTCCTGTCCACCATTAAACCATCTTTCCAAGCAGTCTCCATGTTTCCAGTGTCTTTTTTCCCACTTGGAACTGAACCCAGGTAGACATTTCTTCCAACACTTCTATTAACTGGGTTTTATTGCCGGGTCACTTTTGACTAACAAGTTTCTTTAATCAGCTCCATAGATTTTCAATTGGGTTAAGGTCTGGGCTATTCCCAGGCCATCCAGTAGTAGAATATGATTATCTTGAAACTCCAAAAAAAGTGATGTTATTAGCCATCAAACCTCAAAAATACACTTTTTCCAAAAGTTTCTACAATTTTGGCCACTACTGTATTCGGAGAAAATAATCCTATGATATTTTCTTAAAGGAAAAAAAAACTTCATAGAAAAATATAGGTCAGCAACGTGATTTTTCTTTTGGGGAAGTGAATGAGTTGAAAATAAGCAGAGGGCTAAAATTGCAAGCAACAATGGAAGAATTCTTCAATGCATATTGTATCCGTATCATATTGTTCTAATTTGTGCCTTGCCTTGGTGGTGGGCCATCTTTCAGTGTCTTTCAGTATCTGAATAGAAAGTTACTGAAGACTGGATTAGGATACAGTTAAAATGAAAAGTAAACTATGTTGTCTCATGCTTTTAGTAAACTGGGATTCTGTGTGGGATGGAGTCTTATTCATATTTTAAACTATGTTTAATCCTAATCTACATTTTTCATATGTTTCATTCATCAAAATAGTAGCAAACTGAAATTTGATGATACAATTAGAGGCTCATGCAGGATGCTTTGTTGGGTGATAAAACAAAATACTACAAGAATATTTTTCCTGAGACAAAAGATAGCAATACCCCCATCCAGCTTTGTGTCATCCACAAATTTGATGAACTCCTCTTCAATCCCCTCATCTAGGTTATTTATGAAGATGTTGAAGAGTACTGGGCCCAAGACAGAAGCTTGAGGTACCTCATTGCATGCTTCCCTCCATACATTTCATTGAAGTGTTGGAAGAAACATCCTTCTGGGTTCTGCTCCAAGTGGGGAAACAGACACTGGAAACATGGAGACTGCTTGGAAAGATGGTTTAATGGTGGACAGGATCACATGGCTTGAGTTCCTGAACAGAAAAGGGGCAGATACAGAAAATCCTCGGGTTTTTATGCTCTCTCTGGCTCTGCATTCCTTGGGGTCAC